AGAGTGTCTTATTAAATGTGCGTGTTTTTAGTGTGTGTTTGTGGTGTAGCTATAAGTAGACATTATGCTTTGTATTTTTGGGAACAACTCTCATTTCCCAACTTTTAAGTTGGGAAAATCCTCTCTATTTCTCTTTTTTCCTTTTTATGCTTGGGTTAGGAGCTCTATTACTCATATTTTCCGGCGAGTTTCCGACGACATCATTTTATTTCAAGTTTCGAACTTTTCCATCCGGTGTTCTTCACGCATGCATTAGGAGAGTGAGTAATTAGCTTTAATCCTCATTACTTCGAATTTGCCCTCTTTTGCTTATGATGTGTTTCAAGGTGAATGTGGTTTTGTTTGTTGATCGGAGGAATGTTCGATTCTTGTAGCTCGTCGACGTGTGTTAGGGATTAGTTTGTGCTTATCTTGTTTAAAGATTGCGACTTTGTTTAAAAGTATAGTCATTTAGTAGAAAGCTCGATTTAATGACCTAGGATCACTTGGCAATGTTGATGTCCCTCGGTTCTTTTTGTGTTTATTCGAGTGATAGAGACCCCGGTTGACCTAAAGCTCTCATCTTTGTTTTTAAGTTTTCACTTTCTTTCGATTTCCAATTGCGAGTAGTGTTTAATTCAAACCCTCAAATTGCAAGTAGAATGTTTAGGACCTTTTCGGTTGTGTGATTTTGACGGCTAGATAGTGAACGAAGCTCCGAAGAGCGTTCCTTTGAGAATGACCCGAGTCGGGTAACTCGGTTACCACATTCTCAAAAATACTACAAACACTTATGTCACAAGTGAACAAATTGCATTGGTCTTAATATCATTAAAAAATAATTAATACACTTTATTAAAATAAATAATTATTGTAGTTAATATTTGAAAAAGTAATATTGATAAGTGGATTTGCAACTGATTTGTAGACACAAATAAAGAATTATATTTCCTTTATATATATTTTCATTCCAACAGCTGGTTTTAAAATACCAATCATGGGAATGATATCAAGTAGGGAATAAATGTTTCAATCCTTGCCAATACCAATCGCAGGTATGGGAATGATTATTACACTCCATTCCAGTTTTCATTCCTTTCCATAGCTAATTCCATTCCCTTTTAATTTCATTCCCGTATACCAATCATACCATTAGAACTATAAGCACATAGGTAGATATAAACAAGTACGTGGAACTTTACTCAGGGTCTTACAATCCTCACATAAGTGCATAGCTCAAACAACTTGAAATAATTTAATCTGGCTCAAGATGAAATCATTCTAGGAACTCAAGCACATCAAGTATCAATCCAAGTGACCACCATAGTTTGTCAATCTCTATAACGAATGCAACGATCAATGCAACTAATAACACCCCTCTCTTTGCTAACAAGTCTAGTTTTTCCGTTTATAGTCGAAGTCTAAATGTCTCATTCTCCATTTTTCATTCTTTTTTTTTTCTCTCTTTTTTTTTCTCTCTATTTTTTTTTCTCGAAGTAGGGAACGGCATCTCCGTCACAAACCCGCGAGTTTTAGCCTTTTGTGCTCGTTTAGATACGAAAATTATTAGATTTGTACACTAGAGCTCCCACGGATTGGCAGCTGTTGCAGCCCATAACTTTTTTTTTTATTTTTTGCCAATGGCTTTTCAACTATGAGATATAGAAACCCCAACTTTCAACTTCAAGCCCCAAACTTAATCAACATTGATTAAAGCAATCACAAACACATCCCAACAACATAAATCGTCTCAAAACCAACTCACCAAAAATGAATCACAAAAATATCAACCATCATGCCTTTGTCCCCAAAATAAAAGTACCTCAAGGATTTAACCAAATAAAATTAACTCGAGCCATTTAAACTAGCACAATAAATCCGAACCAACTCTCATGTCATCATCGCAAAATTCCACGTACATGCAATCTCATGCTCACACAAGACAAACAAATATCATGCAACTCAAACTAAGAACTCAAACTCTAAGGGGCATAAATATAATCACATAATACACCATGAATGCTCACAAAAAAACCACCTCCCCAAACGTAGAGTTTGCGCATATTATCGACACTCAAATAAATACAAAAGTTCACAAACAGAGGTAAAAGAAACGAGTTCACCTTAGTCAATGTGGAGGAAGTCATCGAACCATGCACACCATTGGGTTGCCTCCCAATAAGCGCCTCTTTTTATTGTCGTTGGCCCGACTTATTACTCTCTTTCATCAATGGACCCATGGTGGCTTCCAAGGTGGCCTCAAGGAAGGCACAAATCTCACGGCACCATGCTTGGCGAAATCCCCTCTTTCCGGCGTTGGATGTTTCACCGGATCTTTCCTCCATGACGCTAATTCCTCAAAGATATGCAGCAACCTGTGCTCAATCACGGTCATCGTCTCATTAAACTCCCACTTACACCTTTCGTTCTGCTCGATCATATCAAGAGGCTGGATATTAAGGCTCAAGACATGTTTCAGTGCATCTTTACCTAGTACTCACTTCATATTGGAAGAAATAAAACAAAGTTCAGCTTTTATCGACACAATAGCAAGTAGAAGGGTACTCTTTTCGGCTCCAGCAGGTCGAGTATGGGGTACAGCAGGATGAGTATGGGGTATCCCTGTACTGGGTTGTTTCGACTCCATTTTCTCTATATTCGTGATTTTTTCGTTCTCCGACTCGTATGTGCATTCTTCAGGTTCCTCGAGGTCTTTGCTGCACAAATGGGTGACACTTGAACTCAAAGGACTCGTATCGAGCCGACACGCTAGTCGATCTATTTGTTCTGCCAATTGGCTGATTTGGCCTTGTAAATTCCTTATGCGCAGTCCTTGGTTCTTGATGCTCGCCTCAACACTTTGCTGAAAGTTAAGAGTGTTAGCTATCAACTCCTTCATCATCTCCTCGAGTGACAGACCAGGAACTCTCTCGACTAATGGCCTGCAGTACTCTTGTTGAAATCTCAACGTGTTAACTGTCAATGCCTTTATCATATCCTCGAGCGATGGGCTGGAATCTCGCTCAATAGGTGGCTCGGATTACCCATGGAAAGAGTTCGAGTGCTCTCTCAATTGGTATCCATACTCATCGGGATAGAAGTAGTCTTGCCCATCCTTTCTCCAACCACTAGGTCCTCTTACGCATCGATCTTCAAGCCACGAGCCTCGTATCTCCCTCTCATATTGGTAAGATGCACGGTGGGAATAGAAATCGTGATAATAAACTGCCATTATAGAACAATTGTGCCAAGCTTGCTAAAATCACCCAAAGGTTAGTAAATCCCGCGAGTATGGGGGCGCCTAGTATTCTGCAAGAAAACAAAAAGAAGAAAAAAAACAAGGAAAAATGGGTGTAAAAGATGATAAAAATAAAATCCTAAAAAAACTCAATTAGTACTCAAAAATCACAATTCAATAACGTCATTCCCCGGCAACGGCGCCAAACTTTGGTCGCGCGTTGCAACGC